CCTGAAGAGAGACAGGTAGGAAGGACAGCAGCAGGTTATTCGATAGGTTTAACATTGTTCAGTTTGTATCAGCGGTTTGATCCTCCTGTCCTGAGTTTATCTCTTCTGTTTCTCAGAAACCAAGAAGAAAAACCAGAAAAAACTTGTTTGCAGGATCTGATCCTAAAGGCTGGTTGTTGTGAGACGTGTCTAAGGCCGTTACCTTTTTGCTTAGCAACCGTGACAGTTGACACACAAAGAAGGAAAAGAAGGAAAACCGAAGTTTTCAAAACTGCTTGTTTATTTATTTATTTTTTATTGTAAAGTGAACAAAGACTACATTAACGAGAATCCAGAGTGGAATAAAGGCTCCAACCACCGGGAGCAGGAACAAATAAAATCAAATGTAATGATAGAAACCTTAGTCAGTTAAATAACATGCTGCTGTAAATTTGCCCATTGTGGGACAATAAAATAGTTTTAAATAAAAACAATAAGAACAACAACGATTAGGCTGCTGGAGATTTGCACATTATCAACAGCTTTTAGTTTTAATCTGTTCCTTAGTTACACCACTTGCTTCTCCAGCCTTTGAAAGACAAACCACAGGGAGTGAGAATGATAACTGAGAGCCTCTGATGGGTGAGAGGTTGTTAATGTACATCAGCTAGAAAGACAATGAGAAACAGTAAAAGNTCTTCCTCCTCCTCCAGGTTTATTTTTAGACATGAAGCCAAAGAAAAATGTAAAAACGGACAGAATGTGTTAAATAGAAAGTGTTAGAACTCACCCTGGTTACTGTCTAGATGTCTGCGACTTAAAATGGCGTCTGCAGGAAATAAACTGAAATACTTTCAGTTTCATTTCATCAGCTGTTGTGTAGAGCAGACCCCGCATTGACTGTCGTGGTGCAGGAACTACAGGCGCCATCTTAGGGAGGTCGATCTGCTACCCTTACCCATAGATAAGAGTAGATACTGGAGAGGACCCAAGATGGCGGAGTGAGAAGCAGCTTTTTTGCAGGCTCTGATTTAAAAAAGTATTTTATTATCCCAAGATAGCTAGATCAACTGCAACTATCCTTAACCCTCATCAGAATTAAACTGTATACTTTTTTCAAATTTTTTTCCTCTAAATATGAGAGTGACATTGATGACATCGCTGCTGACGAGAATTCTTCTAAAAAAAAGTAAGCTTAATCCGTATCACACAACAACAAAAAGCCCTAAGCCAAAGAAAATGAAGGGAGGTGACCAAGGTGATGGAAGTATCGTACCGCTATTCTCCAAGCTGTTCAGGCGCTGACTGTGAAAATGAACAAACAAACTGAACTTTTAAAGAGTTTTGATAAACGCATTGAAGCTAACACTACGGCTATTAGAGAAAACAAAGAAGAAATTCTTCTACTCAAAGGGAAGATCGACCAGCTCCAGAAAGAAAACAACGCGCTAAAAAGAGCAACGGAGGACCAGGCTTGGTACAAAAGGAGGTGGAATCTGAGGCTGACAGGGTTACCAGAAAAAGAGGGAGAAACCGTCATTGGAATTCTTACCAGAGTTGTTCCCCTTTCCGTGGACCGGCTGCGAGACACCATGGACACTGTCCACTGCCTGGGTAAATGCAGCTCTGCGGCTACCTCCAACAACACGCCGAGGGCGATAATCATCCAGTTCGGGATGAGAACCAACAGAGATGAAGTATGGAAAAAGTCGAAGGACGCGCGGGTGTGTAGAGAGATGCATATCCGCTTCAAAGAAGACTTTTCCAAAGAAGATCGGGATGCTCGTTCTAAGCTGTGGCCTCTGGTTCAGGATGCCAGGAAGAAGGGGAAGAGAGCATTCCTGAAGGAGGACTATGCTGTCATTGACAATCAACATGTGAACCCTAAATAACAAACTTATTTTGTCACATTGGTCTATAACAGGTACTGTTATTTATTTAGTTAGTTAAATGTTTGATTACCTGAAGGGTTGCTGCAATTGTTATTTCTATATTTTTAGGGGATTCCAGCTACTCATTCCTGCGCAAAACTTTTCAGCGCATACTTGGTAATCTGTGAATGTTATCTTTTTTTTCTTTAAATACAAGGCGATTGATAAACAATGTGAAACGCAAGGCAACATTTCTTTTTTGTAAAGAGCAAAAGAGCAATATTTTTTTTTTTTTGCAAAATTCTGGAAACAGCAATGGGGAGACAGTATTTTTTCCAGCCATGGCACCTCACACACAGCTGGAGTAATGATTATGTTCAACAGGTTTTCTGGAAATGTGATAAACCACATAAGTGACATCAAGGGTCACTGGATAATGATGGTGACTGAATTTAATGATGTAAACTATATATTAATCTGTGTTTACGGCAGACCCGGCTGCAGAAAGAAATTAAAGGGGGGGCATTCCATTTTTTTGGGGGGGCACACTTTTTCAGCAAAAATTTCATTTACTTCAAGCTTAACACTAGCTTTGTGACCATTCATTCAGTAAAAGAAATCTCAAAAAATGTGTCCTGACAGATTTTCTGAACCATGTTCTAATGTCTCCCCAAGCTGCTGGTAGAAACAAGATTTTTTTTACAATCATTCAAACTGGATACGTGTTACATCTGTATTTTGTTGAAAAACATTTATTGAACATTGTTAATGATAAAATTTTAGGTACAATTAAATAGTCAAAGATCCACAAAATATAAAAAATAAACAATAGTGTAGTGCTGTGGCAATTCAAATAACTCAAAAGTTAACTCCTAGTTTGAATCAGAGTCTTTCAAAGTGAACTATTTAGAAATCTGAGTGCAGTATTGAATGCGGGTTATAAAATCTGACCTCATAAAAC